GAAGCAGTTTCTGTAAGCAACACCAGAATGTTTCCTTCCTGCCTTCTTTACAGGATTAGGCCAGTAATTTCTTCTAACTACAGGTTTCTGAACTGCTTAGAATGTTAACAGCCGGTTCTAGTGAATAGGTGCAAACTGGTAGAATCCCACCCCTGATTAACATACTAAATACAATTAACATACTAAATCTCTCTTGTGCATTTTTTTTTTCCACTTTTGCTCCTTTTCTTTTGTACATGGGAACAATAATTGATTCTTCCAAGCATCAGATACAGCTTCAGTCTTTACAGGTGTTGCACAAGTCATGCCACTCAAGTTAACAAACCACATCCATATTTAAACATTTCCAGTTACACCAGCTGCACCTGTAGCCTTATCATTTCTCAACATTCTATTTTTTCATTAAACACTAACATTTATACTGTTTGTTTAAAACCATTCTTTGACAAGTCATTACCACACAAATCTCTAAAATACTCCTTCAAAAATTCCCTTACTTGAGTTAGAGTACATCCCACACCATCTCATCACTTTAATTCCCTTCACACTGATGGAGGCTCCTTGGTTAGATTTCTTCACCTGGAGTATTTCCCAAACTATTTTTTATTTTAATCAAAAGCATTCTGCATTTTCTCTGCCCTTTTACAGTAATCTTAATAGTTCTCTGCTGTCACTGACTACATTATTCACCACTACCTTTCTTCTGTCCATATGCTTTACAAATATCTTTTTTCTCTGTCACTGCATTAGTCATTTTTGTATATGCATTTTTCTTACTAACAGCCTCTTTTAATTAATCATTCCATCAAGCACCCTTTTTCCTATTTTCCATTACTGTAATTTTATACATTTCTGTGGAACTCTGTCACATAATTGTATCTGTTTTGTTTCAAGAGGTTTCCCTAATGGAAGGCTATGTCCACTTTTTATTCATTATGTTGGAAATTAATTTTAATTTTATTGTACGAATAGCATTTACTTCCCTGCATGTATTCATCAGTGCTACTCTACAAGATCAGACTAATGAGAGACATTCATTCAGATGTGAACCAGGCAAAAATCCAGCCTAGGTTCTCTCTCTACCTGTTGGCTACCCTTTAAAGAAGTTATGCCTTTTCTTGGGCTTGTGCATTAGCCACTGAGTTCAGAAAAATACATGAACAGTTAAAGAAGATTTCTGTTCCCCATTCTCTTAATTTCACAGAGCTGCAATATTTTTTCTTTCTCTTCTTTCATTGTTAATGTATGCTCTTTCCCCTTTACTCCTCCTACATTCCAAGTCACAATCTGTGGAAAGATCAGCCCATACTTGTATTTGCCACCCAACATCGTTTGGCCAATCAAGGCTTTTACAATACTGTCAGCTAAGTTACCCATCTTGGTTGGGTGTTCAGCATTCCCAGATACTGGTATTAGTACAGAGTGTATCTCTCAGTTTGGATACATTTGGCATTCCATAAATACAACCAAAGCCTAATTTTATCATGTCCAGAATATTCTGTGCAAGCTTCAGGTCTGTAAATTAGGGAGGACATAAGTAAAAAAAAAAGGCAATAAAAGAAGCAATTATTGGGAACATAGCAGAAAACCAAAGCTAAAGTAATCAAAATAATTGAGATTAACTGTAGCATGACTTGCTAAACATTAAAGTAAACAAACTTGTTCTGGTCTATGGCTGCAATTGCAAATATTACAGAGGACAGGGGTGATCTTATGTCAGGTGATGAGGGCCTGTGTCAGCCAATACAAGAGCCCTGAGAAGCAATCTACATTTTCATGAAGCACATAAGATGCTAGTTAGTGTTCTTAGAATCAAGTCAAAACTCAAAAGAGTATACAAATATTTCATGGATGCTTAAAGGAAATAAGACTTCTAAGGATGTTCAAAATCTGGAAGATCAGATAAGAATTCCCCAACTCTGACTTTAAAGCAGGGAACCCACCTTTGAGATTCTTTATCATAATATGGAACTCTGAGAATTATATGGGCGCTCACAGAATGGTTCTAGGGTGCGTTAGGCATCAGAAAGCAGACAAAACCCTGGATTTTATTTCATTTTTTAGGAACAAAAAATGAAATGGACTCTAGATGGGTCCCTAAGACATTGAAGAAGTACAAATTATGCTTGAGGGTAGTCTTTTGCAGAATGCCAGCTTACTTATCTCTTTCTTTAAAAAATCAACTTAAAAACATTAAAACAATTCAAAATTTGCTGATTAACAGTTCTACCTATATCAAATTGAACAGAGGATTTGAATGGAGTGCCACAACAATCACTCCTCTACTGTTCAATCATTTCCCGGATGATTTAGGTGAAATGGTGGAGGAAATGCTTGTCAGATTTTCAGATGATACAACATAGCTCGGACAGCTAATACTTCAAAAGGCAAAATTATAATAGTAATAGGCACTTTGGGGGAAATCCCAAATCATCTAGCAACACTTGAACACCATCAGCATTGACAAAACTATTTCCAATCAATTGCAAAAGGCAGTTTTACTTGGAACATCTTAAAATATATTTAATACAATCAAACAACATCATCTGACTATTTTAGGTCCTTGGAAAGGGTTTGATAGGTGGATAAAAATGCCATATCCAGTCTAAACATCTGGTTGACAGTCGTGCAATGAACCACAGTAAGTTTTCACCAGTCTTAGACTGTGAGTCTAACTGTAGATTACATCTATGGAGATTCTCAGTCATCCAGGTCATGACTGTCTCAAAGGTGCTTTTTTAAATGGCAAATAGACTATGTTTTTTCCCCCTTGAGGAAAAAAAAGTTGTGAAATGAAGAAAAAGAAAATGAAGCTTCTTGGATGAGAAGAAAGAAAAAACAATTACTACCAACCTGCCTTCAATCGAGGACCTGTATACTGCACAAGTCAAAAAGAGGGTTGTGAAAATATTTACAGACCCCTCACATCCCGGCCACAAACTGTTTCAACTCTTTTCCTCAAAACAACGCTATAGAGCACTTCATAACAGAACAACTAGACACAACAACAGTTTTTCCCCGAACGCCATCTCTCTGCTAAACAAGTAATTCCCTCAACACTGTCCATTTACGAAGTCTGCACTACTATTACTGTTAATCTTCTCATCACTCCTTATCATCCATCCCCTCCCACTTGTGACTGTACGACTGTAACTTTGTCGCTAGTATCCTTATGATTTATATGGACTTTCCTAGTATGATTTTATTGCTTATTGTATCCTATGACTACTATTAATTCTTGTACCTTATGATTCTTGACTCTTGACGAATGTATCTTTTCTTTTATGTATACGAGAGTATTTGCACCGACAATTTTCTTGTGTGTCCAATCACACTTGGCCAATAAAGAATTCTGTTCTATTCTATGAGAAGTGAAATGTCTCCTTTCTCCTCAAGAGAAAAAAAAATACTTGAAAAAGCACCTTTGAGACAACTGTAGATTACTCACACATAATACTAATAATAATGTGGTAGTCTGGTTAAATGGAATGAAAGTAAACTGAGTGAAATTTAACAGGAGGAAGTGTGAAATTCTTTACTTAGGAAACTACCTGACCAAAAGGTTAATATTGTTTGCAAAAAAGATAAGTAAGTGACTACAAACCAAGTAGGAGCTAACAGTGTGATATGACAACAGTGATTGCAAATGGTACTTTAGGATGCCTTAAAAGAAATATAATTTCCAAATCATGAGGAAGAATTATTCCACTCTATTCTCCTTTGGCCAGACATCTCAATTACCGTTGCTAATCCTGGGTATCATACTTTAAGAAATGTTCACAGACATTAGAATACGTTCAAAGAAGATCAGTTTAATTGACCAGAGAACTATGAAAAGAGATTGAAGGTACTGAGAAAGTTTATTCTTGAGAAAAGATGTTCAACATAGGATAAATTAGCACTCCTCATATACTGCATGGCTGCAACACAGAAGGAGGACAAGGCTTGTCTCAATCCACAATGCGAGACACAAAACTTTTGACTTAGAGGTCCAATTCCAAATGAATTTCAGGAAAAATAAATCCTAACAATAAGAACAGTCTGAGAAAAGGAAAAAAGACCCCGAGAAGTAGTGGATTCCTCTTCACCAGATATATGAAAGTAGAGTCCACACATTGATCTGTCTGGAATATTTTAATTTGGATTCCAGAACTGAGTGAGGGAGTGCATTCATAGGTCTACACTGCCCCTTTCAACTATGATTCTTAAAAAATAAATTAGGCAGCTTCAGAGTTGCCAAACATTCTAATAGTTTTGAAGAGTGACATTGTATACTCTATTGTTTGAAATTATGGAGATTGCCTTATTTTATTTAAAGACACACACATGACAGTGCATTCATCATCAGCAGCAGAAGGCACCTCTGTTCAGCCCCTGGCATCCTGGTAGATCTCAAGTAGAAAGAATGCCAAACCCAAGGACATGGGAGAGCAATATGTTGCTCTGGCTGTACAATAGCAAAAGAAGGAGGCTCTCTTCTCTGGTAAAGCTATGTTGCAAAGTTTCATCTGAACTATCTGGGATGAGGGGGTCAATCATATGCAAGTCACCTATTCCTATGCATGCAATATCAGATCAACCAATGCACCATGCACTTCTACAGCCTTCAGTGAGCTGAGTTATGTAAGACATTTTATCCTACATACTAACAGGCTATGGGATGCTAGTCACTTATTGACAATGCTTGTGCTTATATAAGGAAAACCAGTATGGTATGGACTGTACATAATCCTCACCTTACTGAGAGTTGCACCTGCAAGGGATGGTGGCAAATAATTATTCAAGTGACCACTCATCACACAAATGGCTACTTGCAACTTATTTAAAAGCACTTAAAAAAAATTACAGACAACTGTATTGAGGGATAGAAAGAGAATCAGTGCTTTCTGATCCATCTAAAAGTAGATGTTTGACAATTTTGGCTCACAAGACTGCAGCAGTTCTAGGAGCGAAGATACCCTCCCTCTCCCCTTCAAATCTTCAAATGTTTCCAATCTCACTTTGGTCGAGGGCTCTTCGGACAGGTCTCCCATCCTTGGTTTTTTCCTACCTGGAAAGTGGCTTACTCAGCGAAGAAACCAGCTGGTCGCAAGCAACGTGACCGGGTAAAATAACTGCACTAACCCAGAACGCCAAGATGTACCAGCATAGCCAGCCCAAAAATCATATCCAGGCACGTCCCAGCCTATGGCTTCAGGCTGTTGAGTCACCAGAAGCAGCAGCAGCAGCAGCAAGAAGGAAGACTTGTTTTGGAGTGGAGAATCAACTACTAAAAAAAACCAGGAAAAGAGCATTTCAAGCCAGAGAAAGCAATCTTGCCACAGTCTGTCAGAAAAAGCCCAGCAAAGTTAAGATGTTTAGAAGAATGTTAGACTCAACAAAGCTGAAAGGGAGCCTAAGAGAGAAAAAGTAGACAAGTGTTTTCAAAAATACCTGAGCACCAAGCCAAAGTAGCAGTGGATCACAATTTGAGAGCAAGAGAAGCAACTTGAATACATCAATCTAGCAAACAAGGAAGCCCATGGCCCAACTAAAAGATGAGTGAAGCCTGCATGCCACAGCAGAGAAGCTCCAACGGTACAAGCAGCCAGCCGTTAATTACGTATACAACCCTGCACACCAGAGGGCAAAACCAACAGGGAACTTCATATGACTTTGCATATTTAAGCACAAGGGACAATTACAAGAAGAGCAGAAGTGGTTGACTGGTGTTGCAAAGGAATGCTGTAACCCTCTGTGCCTGTTTGTATGCTAGATAAATGCCACCCTTCATACACTATAATTCAACACAAGCTGAGATGTGCATCATCTTATACAAGAAAAGCATTGAACAAATAGAATCAATTAGTTTAGTACAACCCCAGTTCTCACGTCATGGGGGAAGCAAAGAGCTGAAGCCACTTATCATACCACCAGTAGAAGTCTCACCCAGGAGGATTAAAATCTTTATATATATATATATACACTTTCTTTCTCTTCTTGACTTTTTTATTCCATAGCAGAAGAGGACGCGAATCCTAGGGAGACAGCCTAAAAAAACTGCTGGACCTACACCTACAGCATCTGAAAAGCCAGTTGACAACAAAACCTGCAGGACATTAGGATGAGAGTTCCTGTCGGTCCTGGAGTCACATATTCCCCCATCAAAGCTCAGTCATAAGAATATACAGAAGCTTTTAAGCCGGTAACATGTCTCATCCTCAGTTTCCATTCTGTAAAACATGATTCCAAGTGATTGTCCTTCACTGGAATCTAGATAGCTCCTAAAGCTAATGCATTTTATATAATAATCTAAAATATCAAGGTCCACAAGAACAGATCCTGCTAGAGGTTTTAAACCCATAAAATAAGACCGGCCTCTACTTCTAATGATATCTAGTAAGAATGAAACTGACTACCTACTGTCTCCTGGTGGTCAATGCAAGATAAAATGCCACGTGGGAGATATGTTGTGGGGATATTATTATCAAATGGACATAAGAGCATTCAAACATGACATTTTGCAGGGAGTACATACAACAAACAATTTCCCAGTATAATGTTATATATTTTCTGGTTTAACTGGGAAAAGTTACCTCTGAAGACTTATTAAAAATCAAAGAGACATGTAGATCCAAGCTCATGATGTCGTCAAAACAGGATTTGGGAAGGACTCCTTAGCTCCTGATAGTAACATGAGAAGGAGGATTCCCCAATAAGAGTAGCTTTCTGCAGGTTGCCATATAACATGAAGGAGATGGGAGTCACATTGAGATGTTAAAATTTGCAAGACTGAAATCCAAAATGTACTGTACATATTAAACCTGCAGAGCAACCATCCTAGAAGTATTTAGTGAGCTACAGCACCTTGGGTTATCAGGCTGATCTATGTGACATGGAGGGTGGTAGTTAGTCTTGTCCTTGCATGAAGAGAGGCGTTCACTAATAAGACTCTCATCCCATAATCCTCACATATTTACTTTGTCTTTGCAGTCAAGGGGCTCTTTGAAAAATGTTATAATACAACAGAAGGTCCACTGAGCCCCAAAGTAGTGCATCTTCATCAATTATACCTTACAATATTAATTCACTTGGATGGTATATTGGTTTATATGTACAGTACTAGAGTGGGACTGCCCAGATACTGGCCTATGTCTTCCACAGACATAGGTATTTCCGCAGGCTCAGGAAAGATGACTTTCAATGGAAGTGAGGTAGATTGGAAGGAAGAAGGACACAGGCCAATATTACAAGAGCCTTTTCCTATCCAATGTCCAATCCAATGTGTCCTCCTGGAATGCAGGATATATATACTACTTCCGACTATAACAAGCCATAGAGCCTAGGGATGACCTTTGGTAGGTTTGTTGATGGTAAAGAATGCAAAAATTATTCTTCTATTCCAAAGATAGTGTAGTATCCCATCATATGACAATTGGCTCAATGGAAAGATGAGCCCCAGCTGAAAACAATGTAGGCAACATCTTAGCAATACCAGAGGCAGACATGGAAAGCCTGCCAGAGACAGAGTAAAAAGATGTAACATATTGTGTTGAATGGATTTTGATTATGAAAACTCCATCTTCTTAAGAAAACACAGAGCACCTCAAGAATTCCTGCAATATTGAATCATGCTGAATATCCAGCTTACCCCACAGACAACATAGACAAGAAAAAGATTCCTCATCAAGATATTTCTTCAAAATCTGTAATGAGCGAAGCTCTCTGCAAACAGCAAGCCAATGCTGCAAGGTTTGGATAAATCCATTTTTGGAAGATTCAAGGCGAATACATTTCACTCCATTCCATATTTTGGATCCAGCTAAATTTCAAGATTGGAAAACTAAATTCCAAATGCATTAAGCTTTTAGTAACGAAAGATTGTTTATTTAAAGGATTTGACTGCAGCCAAATATAAACCCTATTTCTTAATGTTTAGATTTCACACTTTGGAAGCTGCTAGCTTACTTTTTTGTTAGATTAAAAATTGCAAACCATCTGCTTGATTCAGAAGTTATTGATCTAGACAGCAGTGGGTCTGTTGTCTATATAAAGGCTGTTCTCTACCATCTTCTTCGAGCCCTTTATGTGGATTCTTAGTGCATTTTTACATGCAACTGAGATGGGTATATGCTGGAAGAAGAGAGATGGAGATGTATTCTTGATGGGCTACGGCTAGGCCATTCTTCAAACTTCCACAAAGATCACAATGGAAAATGTCTTTCTTCTTAAAGACAAACATGGTATTATAAAAGGAGATTGTTCTACACCATAGCCCTGATTTTGCCATTTCTGTTCGATCTACATCCCAGCAAATATAGTTGGGGGAAAAGGCCACCATTCTACACCAGGTAGGCCCCATGTGCATAAAACTCAGCAAGCAAGTTAAATCCCTCCCTCCTTCTCTTCCTCCCTCTCTTTACCTATCAATTAGTATAACACTCAGAATAAGTAAACAATATTGGTTTCTGGAATTTGAAAGAGAAGGTGCTGGTGATATAACTGACGCTAGCAGAAACTTTTCAAGAATTAATTATTTTGTTGATTTAAAGTAAACGTTTGCTTTCAGAATACATTTCTCAATGTTTTATTCTTGTGTTTAGGGAATTTTACTGGAACCTGGTTTCATCCTTGAGTGCCTCTATATCATGAAGTCATCAACTCAGACATGAGTTTATAAGAGGAAAGAGAGACCACCAAGGCAACTAACACAATCCACCTCTCAGTCCCTGTATTCATTGGTAGGGTATTGTTATAATGTCAGAATTCTGCATTCTTAGAAAATGTTCCAATTTGCATTTTTCACTTCAGATCAAATCCTGTTTAAAATTAGCCCATAGGACAATTGGGGAACCTATATTTTCACCAGTCATTTAAAAATAGTTCTCTTCCGTTTCCATTGCTTGCATTAATGCCACTGATATACTGAAAGGTTGTCACAAAAGAGTCACTACTTCTCCAGGAAATTGTGCTCCTAGGGCTACTTCTCTGCAAACAGAAACCACCTCAAAATCCTATAGTAGTATAATTAATCCTTCCCCCAGTCAATTCCCCTCACAACTTTCTTTTATATTTATTTGGCTTTAGAGAGGGGAATGCTGTATCTCAGGGCCTGGATGCATGATGTCATCATTAATCTGAAATATCAAGTGATGACACGACCCGGCAATACAGCAGCCTTCACAAGAATTATGAGTCCTTTCCTCCCACTTTTATCACCTCGCATTAATAATCTGACATGAGATGAAGGTCACCACAGGGGACTGAGTGCCTACACCCTAATCATGCAAGCCTGATATATCTGTAAAAGCTTAGATGGGGGTGGAGAGATGTAATGTCACAATAGCTACAGTCAGTTGAAACTCAATAGTTTTCCTTATGTGCAAAATTTCTTGCATTTCTGATTTCTTGCATTTCTCTAAAAACAAATGGTTAAAAAAAAGAAGAGATTTTAAGGTTTAAGCAAATTCTTCCAAAAAATGTGTTTTTTTCCAAAAAAAAAAAAAACACTGAAAAAGTAAAAAAAAAAACCATTTTCTTGGAACTTTCTTGGAATTAATTAGATCTTAACAAAGTACTGTTTGCAAATGAGGTCCAGTTTGTCTTAAAGCCTCCTAAACTGGACCTAAGAGCAAGTGAATGAGTTTGGTGGGAAGCTAAATATGTATCACGCATCATACAGCAGCTGGAATTAACCCTGAGACTGATGTGATTGGGCTATTGAAATAGGAAATCGATCTTTTCTTCCTTCCTTCCCTCCCTGTCTCCCTCCCTCCCAATTTCTGGCTTTTGTACAAATCCACCAGTCATAATAAAAATCACCCTTTGTGTTATCCACATTTTCAATATAAATTTGAAGCACCTTTACACATTCTAGACAATTTTTCTTGAGTCATATACCAACGGTACATCATTTATAAAAATTCTTTTTTAGGGTACAACATAAATTAAATTTCAGTCCTTTTAACCACTTATTTTGCCATTGTTCCATCAATATAACCATGCAAAGTTCTTAACCCATTTTATCATACAATCTTTCACTTGTTCTTCCATTTCAAATTTCAAAA